AAGTTGAGTATAAATTCTAAAAAATTGGAAAAGTCACTAAATAAAGAGTGCAACTTGACATGAAAATTGGGCACACATGAGCCAGATTCGTACTCTGATTATATTTTTTCCTTAAATAGCTCATTACAAGATTCAAGTAGGACTTAAAACCATATCATTTTAATTTTTCTAGAATTAGTTATGATTTTTCAAAATTTGGATAAATTAAGGATTTTCATGAATAGTAACCTGAGAAGAATGTTTTAAAAGTTCAAATTTTTCTAACCTAAGGACTTGAGAAATGGTTTCAATCGCTTCTACTTGATATAAAATTAGTTATTAAAGTAAAGTGTGATAGTAACCTTAGCTAATTATGAAAGAAAATAGAAAAGAAATAGCCGGCAAAAAGTTGTACCTCATCTTTCATCTGTGTAATCTTAGCTAATTATGAATGAAAACAAAAAAGAAATAGTGGGCAACAAGTTGTAGCTCATCTTTCATTTGTGTAACCTTAGCTAATTATGAAAGAACAAAAAAAAAAGAAATAGCTGGCAATAATTTGTAGCTCATCTTACATCTATGTACTATAATCATGGAAATAATTTATTACTACTTCCTAAACAGCGTGTGAAATTGCACAAAAAATACCTTTTCCTTGCCAGAGTTGATTTAAACATTCGAGTTCTATAAAAACATATTGTTATTAGTTTATTATCAGTACCATTTGGCATGAATTTTATGTATTTTAATTAATTATAAAATTGAAAACAAAAAAGAAATAGCTAACAACAAATATTACAACTCATTTGGCATGAATTTTAGGTTTAAAACTTAAATAATTATAAAATAAAAACAAAAAAGAATAGCTAACGACAAATTACAACTCATCTTACAAATTATTGCCAGCTATTTCTTTTTTGTTTTCTTTCATAATTAACATTGTCTTTTTTTAACTTGGTACCAATATAAATATGCCCTAATCATCATCAACATTTCATCATGCTATATGGTTCCACGTACATTTCATTAAAATGTTATCAAGCTTAAGGCCCTCTCCTATTCTCTACTCAAATTTCTCATTTTTCTTCTTGATGCCATCTTTAAAAATTAGTGAGAGATCAAAGATTTTTCTACATGATCACAGTGACTCAATAATTTATCAAATATTTCTTTCACACCAATTCAGTAAGTTTATTTCAGCTGACAAATTCTTTCAGAGCTTGTTTATTGTACTTAATTATTTTTAATTGTTTTTTGTGATCTCATATCTTTACGGATGTTTCTCAATTGAGGAGAAATTTTTGGCCTTGAAGCTTTTTTGAAGGGGATTGGATGGCTTAATCTATGATCACTTTTCAAAAAGTCAAAAGCATTGAAAATTTCAATACTCGCGAGTTCTGCTTCAAAATTTAAGGAGTACATAGATGTGACAAACGATCAAGAATGAGCTGAAAACAAAAGGAAAGATCTTGACTAAAACTTGAGGGCATGAAAGAGACCATAAAAAGATTGATGGTGAGACTGACTCCATCAATCGGAACCTAAAGATGTTGGAGGTTGAGTTTCAAGGAATGGCTAATACTCCTTGGTGACATAATAAATGATGCTTTCTCTTATGTCTTTCTAAATTGAATTCTTCTCATGTAGAATAAGAGTTATGTAATAAAAGAGATTATAAACAAAACAATCAACTAGTTAATGAAAGATAATGAATCTTGTGTCAATATCTTTGTTCATATGACAATAATGCCAGATGAAAGGATCCAAATTTTGTCTTTTGGAAAAGGTTGCACTTTGGTTTAGAATGTGCAAAAAATGTTGCGCAGAAATAGTCTTAGAGTTGCTTTGTATTGCTTGTGAAGCTCTAGAGTGACTTGCAATTACAAACTGTAGATCATCATATTCTTCCCATCCTTAATGTAGGATCTAATTTGAAAGATGATATTGGTCCTATATGTAAGACCAATTTCACATGTTTATCCAATTCTTTCCAAATTAACCTTATTGATATTTTCTCAAAAATAATCAAGTACAATAGGTAGGGAGAGAATTAAGAAAGATGATTATGGTGTTTTTAAAAAAACATATTATATTAACTAATCTAACCAACATCCTTAATTTACTCAAATTAGTTTATTAGGTTTTACATTAAGGATCAAAGAATTATATATTTTTCTTGATTCTGATTTGTTTCATTAATGACAGTCCTCCTTTTGTCTTTGCCATAAGTTGTTTAGTTTGCCGAACTCCCCCCCCCCCAATTATAACTGGCTTCTTCATCTTGTGGAATCTGTTACATTATGAAAGTAGGTGAATGTTTTGAGTCGATAGCATTGGATTGTTATATGTCAAATACTCCATTAATTTATTATCAATTTAGATCAAATTATTTTAAGTGAATTTGTGCTCTATGAGATAAAACATATGAGAAAAATTTTCTCATAAAACACAAAAGTGATTATACGTAGACTTGATTCTGAATATACATTTGAAATCCATAAAAACATACTGTGACATAGTTTTATTATCTATATATTATATATTTGGCACTAACTATAGGTTTATACTTTAAATAATTACAAAAATAAAAACAAAAACAAATAGCTGGAAATAAGTTACAACTTACATTGCATATGTGTAATGTAATGTTGAAAATCATTTATTTCTTTTTTTTTTTTAGTGAAAATCATTTATTTCTACTTCCTAAACTGTATAATACATTGTATCTTTTTCTTAGTATAACTATAAATACCCCTTAGTTATCATCAACATTTCATCATGTTACGTGGTTTCAAATTTCACTGAAATGCTTTCAAGCTTACAGCCCCTTCCTATTCTCTACTTAAATCTACTGCTCTCAACACTATCTTTAAAACCTAGTGAGAGATCAAAGATCCTTCTATATTATTATATAGATCCAATAATTTATCAAATATATCTTTTATGCCAATTCAATAAGTTTATTTCAGTACTTGACAAATTCAATAAGTTTATCAAATAAGCTCATAGCCGGTTATTTTGTGGAATTAATACATTGTACTTCGAAAAAGAACAAAGAAAAAAACACTGCACGAATCATGATTCAAACGGCCAATTCTTATTATTGATTTTTCACAAGTTTGGACAGGTTCATATTCAATTCAACAAGTTCTTCACCAATCCTTTATTCCTCTGATTCTCCCTTAATTTTAGAAGGGACCAAATCGAACTGATCCAACCTGGTTTTCATTCGCAAAATATCCACTTACTATTATTTTAAGTTCCACTGATTTAAGCCCCATTTTTATAATGTAACTAGATTCCAGAAATTGCATTCTGCCAAGGGTCAACTAAACAGAACAAAACAAAAATTCATAATCCAAGCGCTGTTTTCTTCTCCACTTGAAACAAAAAAAAAAATGTCTAAATTCCTCTGGTTTTTTATATCTGAATTTCTCTATATGCGTCAGTCTCGGCCAAAAACTTAACTCGGAATAGGGGCAGCTGGTATATCAATAGTGGTTCCTGCTTGGATTTGGCCCCACCCAATCAGACGCCAGTGCCTCTCAACACGCCTACTCAGAGCAATCTTCTCGCCCTTACTGGTGCACACTGGGGAAGTCAGCTGCAACTTTGTCAAATCATTCTTCACTGCAAGAACTCTAGCCCCAGTTGACATTGATCCTATGTTCAGCGTCAGTATCTCTGCTTTGGCAAGCTTGGATACCTTTACTTGTCTCTCAGATCCTTTCGTCTGGACACCGAGAAGCCTTCAAAGCAAGAAGAAGTTCAACTACGAGACGCACCAAAGTATGAAGTTTTCAATAAATGGGAATGGAAGCATTATATATATCTCATTTGTGATGGGGATTGGCAATAACATCCACATTATTTGGGTCAATGCAAATTTTTCAACATCCCTTATTCCACTACGCTATTATACTTCAACAAACCAAACTTCATAGATAGAAAAAAATCATGAAAAATAAGGTCCCATTGCCAAACTATCCTCAAGTTCAGTATAAACTTCAGGCAGTGATCCAGCCTCTCCAAGAACTTGCCCCACCAATCTGTCAGAACGCGTCAATGTCGGATCCATGGCTGTGCCAACACCAATTAGAGCTCCTGGCACAGCAAATTGAAGCTCATTTTGTTCAGCGTATAGTGAAACTACGCTAGAGTATATGGGTATGCATCTAATATTCTCGTTCTCATCCTTCTGAACTAATCCAGGTCGAACTTCAATGAATTGGTTTACCTTCAAAACACCCTGCATGAAACAAAAGGTTTAGATGTGTTATTTACGAGCAAATTAATTACCCACAACATATAGGGTAAATTATTCCAAGATATTTCATCACATATTGGATTTTCCATCATATTAAGAAATTTAAATATACCTTCTTTTTGGAAGCTATTGCCATTTCTCATTATCGCCATGTTTTTATAAGTTTATCTATCAATTTCCTTACACAAATATACTGTTTTTTATTTTTTCTCTCCGAAGATAGCAACCTAGCAACCTGCTTTCACAGGCACTTGAGTCTACCTCAACATGAACATGCCTAACCACTATCCATCATATTAGGAAAAAAACCGTGTCTGTGCAGAATCATTTGTGTGAGATATTAAAGTAGGCTGAAACGTTTTCAAAACTATAAGGCACTATACATGCATTTAGGCAAACATTAATTGCTTATAACTTAATTGAAATAGTAAAAGCTTCCCTTTAAAAAAAAAAAAAAAAGAGGAAGAATATAATTACTAAAATTCTCAATAATAAATAAACAGTTGTTATTTCCTATATCGGAACTTCTGTTCTGTTGTTATTAACACCTTTTAGTAATTATATTCCTTTCTTGGGACTTCAAAGCAATTTTTCCTTTTAAAAAAATAACCAAAATGAAAGGATTTACCTGGAGAATGCTTCCACCAGCCACACCTTTTTTAAGTTGATCAACTTCAAACCAAGGCTTATTGACATCAAAAGATCGGATCACAATCATACTAGGTGGAGAGACAAAGTTTCTTTCAGGGACTGGGATCTTTTTCACAATGTATTTACAAACAACATCTATATTATACTTTAGCTGGGCTGAAATTGGGACTACGGGTGCACCCTCAGCAATAGTTCCCTACAGGGGAGATAGGGAGGGAAGTGTGTAAGTTACAGAAAACCACTAATTTTTATGGAACAGCACTATAGAAAAATCAGTTAATAGAGCGATATATACTTGTATGAACCTGTGAATCACTTCATGCTGATTGATAGCCACATTTTGTTGAATCAGATCAATCTTGTTCTGAAGAATTATTATGTGTTGCAAACGCATAATTTCCATAGCAACCAGATGCTTAGAGGTCTGTGGTTGGGGACAACTCTCATTTGCAGCAATAAGTAATAAAGCTCCATCCATGATTGCTGCTCCATTGAGCATGGTAGCCATATAAGTATCATGGCCCTGCAGAAAATGGAAATAAAAAGCAAAATATCAAATAGCCACCATGGATAGAGGTTAGCGATTTTGCTTGGAACTTAGTTTATCATGATATATTGGAGAAATGATCCCTGACTTTCAAAGTTATTAAGTAGGGTCTAGACATTTGTTTTCTTAAAAGGTATATATATTAAATATTGATAAAATTAAAAAATTGTTAAATTTTAAGACAAAGTTAAGAGTTAATGAGGTTTAAAGTTTTTCTAATAAAACATGTTGGAAATAATTTATAAATAGAACTAGAGGAGCATCCAATGAATGCTTGTTGGTTGAACAATAACTGACTATTGAAAACATATGTAGAACTATGAAAAACCCACATCTTATGTGAAAGAGAGTATGGCCTCATTCAGTAATATTGTTGGCCTCATTCAGCAATGTTGTTGATAGAATAGAAATAGAAAAGAGAAGGTAGAAGAGTGTTCAGGGAAGGAGAAAGATAGGAATTAGGGGGAGAGAGAGTTAGAGAAGGGAGATCTGAGAGAGACAGCGAGAGAAAACAGAGAGCAGGAAAGATCAAAACTGAATAGTGCATTGTATATTCCTCAAAATCAATTATGTACAATGGGTACCCTAGTCATGTCTATTTATAGGCCTAATTACAAAACTAATCCTACTTAAATACCTCTCCTAACGGTTAGTGACCATTGCTCCTACTAATATTTAAAAATAATTATAATAATACATCAATACCCCTTCCCAAAAGATCCTTGCCCTCAAGGATCTGGAATAACAAAATCTGGAAATTGCTACTAAAAGCTATAGAAGGGCATCCAGAAGGCTTCTTTATCTAGTAATCCTTGCCACTGAACAAGTATTTCAGTGATTAACTTCCTTCTTTTTTTGGCTTTATTTTTTCCCAAAATCTTCTCTGGAACTAGTGCTGGTGGAACTTCAGGAAAATCAGGAGGTGGATGTCTAGGTTTGACAGAAGGATCTGGGCACAATTTTAATAGAGACATGAAAAGTAGGATGAATTCTTGAGTCAGGAGGCAGGTCTAATCTGTAAGCAATAGCTCCCACCTTCCCAACCACCTTGTAGGGTCCAAAATACCTAGGAGCCAATTTTTGAGAACTCCTAGAAGCAGCAGAAATCTGTTGGTAAGGCTTTAATTTTAGGAAAACCCATTGCCCAATTGCAAATTCTCTATCAATTTTGTGATTATCAGCTCTGTTTCATTATACTTGCTGCCCTATGGAGATGATGTTTTAAAAGTCCCATCATTTCCTCCCTTGCTATAAAACTCTTGTCCACAGCATCTAAAACTAAATTATGAGGTAAATAGGGAGAATGGATTGGAGGTTTCTACCCATGAAGCAATTCATAAGGTGTAGACTTTGCAGCTGTATAAAATGAAGTGTTATACCACCATTCAGCTTGTGTAACCCATTTACTCCAATCTTTGGGCCTTTCCCAATGCATGCACCTTAGATATGTTTCCAAACAGCGGTTCAACACTTCTGATTGGCCATCTGTTTAGGGATGATAGGCAGAGGAAGCTTTTGATCAACCCCCAATACTCTTAAAAACTCTTTCTAGAAATTGCTCACAAACAAAGGGTCATGATCACTTATGATTTTAGTAGATGCTCCATGTAATTTATAAATCTGATTCATAAAACTCTAAGCTAATATGGCGGGAAAAAATGGGTGAGAAAGAGGAATAAAATGAGCATGTTTGCTCAAGTGATCAATAAGAACCCAAAAGATGTCCTTGTCAAGTGATTTGGGAAGTCTCTCAATGAAATCCATAGTCACACTTTCCCAAACTCTACTTGGAATAGGGAGAGGTTGTAGTAGTCTAAGAGGTGCAATAGCTTCACATTTGCATCTAGCACAAGTGTCACAAGCTTTGACAAATTCTGTCACATCATTAATCAACTTCTTCCACCAAAACAAAGCTTTAATGTGTTTGTATGTAGCTTGTATACCTGAATGGCCTTCTTGAGGAATAGAATGGAGCCATTATAGAATTTATGTCCTAAGGGACTGATCCTTGCTAATAACTAGCTTCCTCTTTCTTCTTAGTAATTCACCATCCCAAGTAAAATGCCCCCAAGTTCCATCATGCTACTGCACCTTATTAAGGAGAGTGGCAGCAACATCGTCCTCCCAACTTGTTTTTATTTTCTGCAATAACTTAGGAAAGGATGTATCAAAAGCCATCTGCATAGGTTGCTGTCTAGGCATTCTGGACAAAGAATCAGCTTTAGAATTTTCATTAACCCTTTTATATTGAATTTCATAGTCAAACCCAGCTAGTTTTGTCACCCAAAACAGTTGAAAAGAAGTGTTTAGGTTCTATCCCAAAAGGTATTTTATACTTTGCTAGTTTGTTTTAATGAGAAACTTCTACCTCTCTAGATATGGACGCCAATGTAACACAGCCAGCACCACTACCATAAGTTCTTTTTCATAAACTAAAAGTTGTTGGTGTCTTGGAGCTAATCCTTTGTTGAAAAAAGCTATGGGCTGCCCTTCTTGCATTAATACAGCCCCAATTCTAGTACCACATGCATCTGTTTCCACTATAAATTCCTTAGAAAAATCTGGAAGTCTAAGAACAGGGGCTGAAGTGATAGCATTCTTGAGTGTTTGGAAGGCTTGAGTTGCTGAATCTGATCACTGGAAGGCATTCTTTCATAATAATAGGGTTAGAGGTCTAGCCAAGTCACCATACCCCTTGATAAACCTCCTGTAATATCCAGCTAACCGCAAGAATCCTCTTACTTGTTTAATGTTGCTAGGGGTAGGCCAATTGATCACAGCTTCTATCTTTTATGGATCTGTGGAAACCACGCCATGCTTGATAATGCGTCCTAAGTATTCCATAGCAGTTGCAGCAAAGGTACATTTGCTCCTCTTGACGAAGTAGCAATTCTCTTGTAAGATTTTGAATGCTATTTGTAAATGTTCTTGATGGTCTGCAAGAGAAGAACTATAAATCAATATGTCACCAAAGAAAACTAAAATAAATTTTCCAAGAAATGGTCTAAAAATGTCATTCATAGCTCCTTGAAAAGTGGCCAATGTATTAGTCGAGCCAAAAAGCATGACCAACTACTCATAGTGTCCAGAATGGGTTTTGAAGGCTGTTTTATGGGTATTTTCTAGTTCCATATGAATTTGGTGGTAGCTAGCCCTAAGATCCAGCTTAGTAAACCACTAGCTTCAATTAATTCATCAAAAAGATCTTCTACTACAGGAATGGGGTACTGATTTTTGACAGTGTACTTATTAAACTCTCTATAGTCCACACACATCCTCCATGTCCTATCCTTTTTCTTCACTAATACTATAGGAGCTAAAAAATGTGAACAACTATCTTGAATTACCCCATTCTCCAACAATTCATTTACAATCTTTTCAATAACATCTTTTCGGGCTACCGGTATCTATAAGGTTTCAAAGTAATAGGATTTGTCCCGTTTTTTAGGACAATAGGATGATTATGGCCATCTCTCAAAGGGGTTAATCCCTTAGGATCCCCAAAAACTTCTTGAAAATCATCTGGGATCCCTTGAATTTCAGCAGGAATACTACTGTCCACATCTGAAACAGCAAAGCATTAGACCTCTTTTCCTTTTCTGGTGACCAACTGGAGTAGGAAGAGCTGTTCTTCCTTCAAATGGGCAATTTCAATCCTTGCTGGTTGTACCATTTAGCAAGTGCCTGGGATGTTGGCTTGCAACTTCTGCAACTTCCTTTCATGCCAGAAAAACATAGTGAGAGTTTCATAATCCCAAAAAGCATTTTTAATACTTTTAAGCCATTTTAAACCAAGAACTAAATCATAGGTTTTAAGATCTAAAATTCTAAAATCATAGACAAACTCTAGGCCTGCATTTTCCAACGGAGTCCTTCCTAAAGTCTATGAACTTTGAGTTTCTTGCCCCCTGCGACTGATACAAAAGAAGCTTCTTTTGTATCAGTTTGCCATCCCAGTTTCTTAGCAAGTCTAAGGTCCATGAAATCATATGTGCTGCCACTGTCAATGAGGATTTTGATGGCACGCTTTTTAATAGTTCCTTGGACCCTCATGGCATCTACACTGTTGGTCCCTTCAATGGCATGTAAAGAGATACGTGGAGTGGTCTCTAGTTCATCTCCTTCCACAGTCTCCAAGTCTTCTTCTTCAGCATTATCTTCTTCCTCCAAAAGAACAAAATGGAGTTGCATTTTCTGACATTGTGGGCATTTGTGATCTCTAGAAACTTCTCATGGCAGAAAAAGCAGTGATTCTTGGCCCTATGTTTAGCTTCTTCTTCTGCAGATAAAGCTTTGACCGGCTTCAGTGTTCTTTTAAAAGACGAAGAAGAGCTTTTAAAAGATGAAGAAGACTTATCTTTTGGGTAGGACCCATTGCTCACAAAAGGTGTTTTTAGGATGAGTCAACATATTTGGGGTAGAAGACGCCACCTGGTTTGCAATAGACATGTGGGATACAGACTTGAAGGACGTGTTCTTACTGGTCTGTTTTGATATGGCTATTTCTTGGACTCTCACAAACCTCCTAGCCTCATGCAACATTCTGGGATTGAACATTTAAGTTGAGACTTCAATTTCTGGTTTGAGCGCCGAGACATAAGCGTCCACAAGATACTCTTCTGAAAGATCAAGCTTTGCTGTGATTGAGTCAAACTTAGTGTTGAATTCTACCAGGGAGCCCGTTTGACATAAGTGAGTGAACTCGGCCATGGGAGTGTCGAGCAAGGGGCCAAAAGTGTCTCTAAGCAAGTTGACATACTCCTCCTATCCCATTGGTCATCCCCTACGCCGTTTTTCTACAACAAGATGCCACTTAAAGGTCTTATTGTCCAAATGCAATGATGCGACCTTCACCTTCGACGCCTCTGGAGTTTCATCAAATTCAAAAAAATCGCTCATATCGTGCAATCCATGCGAGAACATTGGCATCGTTGAATCTTGGAAATTCCATTTTCCTCAGTTGGGTCGACCATTGATACCGATTTTGGTTTCCCCCTTTGATCTTAATCATTGGGTCGCTCATGATCATTATTTCAGATAGCAATGGTCCCATCTCTAAAGTCTCAAACAAGACTCTGCAATTGCGTATTAACTCCCAAGACTGTTTCTTGTAGTTCATCGACTGTGCCCAGACGTTGCTCAATTAATTTCAAGCGTTCCTTCGTAATTCTTGTTTGGCCATGGGTAAGTACCATGCACTAGTAGGAATTCTTGAATAATGCCGAGGAAAGGCTAGCTCTGAATACCATTGATAGAACAGAAATAGAAAAGAGAAGGTAGAAGAGTGTTCAAGGAAGGAGAAAGATACAAAAAGATAGGAATCAGGGAGAGAGAGTTAAAGAAGGGTGACCCGAGAGAGACAGCAGAGAGAAAATAGAGAGAAGGCAAGATCGAAATTGAATAGTGCACTGTATATTCCTCAAAATCAATTATGTACAATGGGTACCCTGGTCATTTCTATTTATAGGCCTAATTACAGAACTAATCCTACCTAAATACCGCTCCTAACGGTTAGTGATCGTTGATCCTACTAATATTTAAAAATAATTATAATAATACATTAGTTGCTGTGGCCTTTGAAGCTGCCTATTGATAGCAAAATCTACAAATTTATATAAGGTTTTCAGGATACTATGTTAATATGTTTTTTAAATACTATGAGAAACAAGACACAGCCACACTTTCTTGACTAAAACACTAAATTATATTTAACTGCTCCTCGAACTTAATTTCCTGATAACTATCCTTGATCTAATTTGCATCAAACTTTCACAAAATGCAATAGTTTTAAAATAATTACCACAAACCATTTTACAGAAGATAAATAAAAATCAAGGGATTTATTACGAAACATAACACCCTGAATTTATAATGAAATTATGGCATATTAATAAGTCATAAATACAAATGCTTCTTTACCAGGCAATCCACAAAAGAAACATGTCTCAGTAATTACATCCTGCGGTTCTCAAATCCTGGCACGTCACACATAGGACTGTCTTCTTTTCCACTTCCATATGCCCTGAAAATCCAATTTAAACACAACATTGAAATAAAGGCAGAAATTAAATCTGTTTTAGAACACACACACACACACACACGTACACTTGCAAAATATATACCCACTTGTAGCACATAGGCCTCGGACACCGTTCATCTTCGCACTTATATATCTTTGCATTTGCATATCCAAGCTTGATTGTAATGTTACGCTCCAACTCATTTTTAAATCGAACAGTCTGCGTATTCGTGGTAAACCCGAAGCAAAGCCTTATTAAAATTAATTTTTTGCCATCAAAACCTGATTAAAATTAACAACCTTGATGATGATCAGAAAATATTACAATCAGCTCTTCGTTGAAAGTTGAAAATCAACTACAAGGTTAGGCAGGAAGTCATTCTATCATCTAATTTCCCAAATTTCATGTTTCAGCAAAGTCCAAAAGGACTTGTTACATTTTTAAAAAAAAAAAAAAACAAGAAGAAGAAGAAGAGAAAATTAACAATGAAATTTAGCTATGAAATTTGCAAATTTCATCACAGAAAACACCGTCACTAATTAATTAGCGACAGCATTCCATTGCTAAACTGATTGATCAATGACGAAAATTCTATCACTAATTTGTTGTTTTCTAATTATATTATTGCTTTATTTTCCTCCTAGCATGTCTCTATGACATTTAATACTAATAAATTTTTTCCCCTAGTCTAAGTCGGCCAAAAAAAATGGCAAATACGAACCTATATGATAGAAATTTATTCAAAATTAAGCCCAAAAAAAATGGACAAATGAATACGTGAACACCTGATGTTGCTTTAACAAATGTTGACTTGCCATGAGCCGCATGGCCTATGGTGCCTATCAGCACATAATCACAATTTCATTATCAAAAGATGTCAAAAGTTGGGCATATAAAGGGGTCACCCTTAGATAATTTTTGTTTAATAACAGTGAAAATAGTTAGATATTTATTTTGGTTCCCTTTAAGACTGACAACTGTTATACATGTAAACGAATAAACATCGAAAAATAATAAAAATACCAATATTAATGGTAGCCTGCCGAGATATGACTTCTAGAGAAAGTGGATGCAATTTTGTTACATCCAGTTTACTCAGATCCTGTTCCATCAAACCTTTCCGTGACATTTTGCATACTTAAGGTGATCGTAGATAGAAGATGAAAGAAAGATGGAAGAGAGAAGAATAAAAGAGAAGCTGGAACTTGTATTGAATAATTCTTCAGGAAATTGAAACGCAAGAGAATAATACTAATGATTACCTTTATTTATAAGGCATAGGTAATAATATGCTAATATCTAATCGAAATTATTAAATATCTAATCCAGATTAATTAATATCTAATTCAAATCCAACCTAATATCGCTGGGAAAAAAAATCAATCCTATTATCTCAAAATATTTAATACTAATCCTACTTAGATACTCAAGCCCATTTAATTTTGTAAAATGATAAAAGGACTTAACTAATAACTACCCTAACAACTTATTGACAAATCACATATCATCAGAATATACAACTCATTAACCTAAATCTCGCAGCAATAAACCATAATTATATTTAAATAAAATACTTATTCCAAGTCATTATTTTCCTTTAAAAGTACACGTATTATTGCATACAAGGTCTCATAATCCGACAACAATTATCAATTCATCGTCCAAGTTCACAGTAGCAGACTAGTAGCACATGTTAACAACCTAAATATCTGTGACGGTAATTATTAATTAATTTCAACTTCTGATGAAGTCATTATTTAATCATAAGCAGATATCCTAGAATTATTCCCAGGGGTGCTTGATCTAGCCGTGGATCATCCAAATCACAAAATGGGCGAGTTGAGCTCGAATCTCACTTTGTTAAAAAAAGGCTCCCCCTGAAGAGAGGTATCCCGATTGCAAAGCCTCCATTCAGATTAATTGGTTGCTCAGATACCTGATAATAGGATTCAGAAAAAGTGCCAGGCAATGGATGACCCAAAGGGTTATAATAAAAACCGAAATAAAAGATATCCCAAATCTCAGAATTTTTACAAGCACTTAAGAAATAAGCTTCTAGAAACTTATATCTCTCGACTACAAAAATCACTTTTGCTGCATCTTCTATATGACGTGGGACTCTTCTTCCTCAATCTTCTCCACCACTTTCATGTTTGCCGTCACCGCTGTTCTTTTCTTGCTGTAATACTCGAACAGCTTACTTAGAAGGTGCTTCCTAGTTGATTTTCAATAGACTGAATTGCTTGCTTTGATTTAATAATGTAGAGGGAAAGGAAACTGGCTTTACAGGAGGCTCTTCGCTTTCGGGTTTTTGTTTCAGCTCTATTCTTTTCTTTTTCAGCCACTATTTTTGTTCTTAATTATAATTTCATCACTTCATTAAAAAAATGTATTTTAATATGACAATTGCATTAACGAAAATAAATTAATGTAAACAACAGAGCAACATGATTGTAATTTTTCTTAGTATATGACAAATATTTCAATTTTAGTGTATGTATGTAAATATGATCCTTTGATTTCCAATCTCTTGCCAGATTTTATCATGAACATTTCGTGTCCTTGAAAAATACTGTAATGTTAGTTATTATCAATACTATTTGCCATCAATTTTAGTTTTAGTCTTTATATAATTATAAAAATTAAAATAGAAAAGAAATAGCTAACAATGAATTACAGTTCATCCCGTGTATATATATATATATATATACACACATATATATATGTATGGGGTAAAATCAATTGTATAGTATACATATAAGTAAGGAAATCATATTCACTTTGATTGCAAGCGTTTCTTGAAAAGAAATTAGACTAACTAGATGAATCTTCCTAACGAACTTGATTTTGCCCCAATTATAAGAAAAAGATTTAAGATTTTAATCGTGTGCTATTTTGTGTCTAAGATCAATCAAGTTTGAGAATGTGTGTTGTCATCAACCTACTCACAATACTATATTTGATTAATCTTCAGCTTTTCATATAACAATTTGATATGTAATATTGTTGGATCATATTCAAATACTATGACAATTAATTAGGTGTAACTTTCTTCAAAACTTTTTCTGTATGCACATAGACTTGAACATGTACATTGATGTTTTTCCGTTTAACAATGCTCATGTCAACTAAAACAAAATATGTTTTAATATGGCGATTTTAATAACAAAAATAAATAAATGTAACAGCATGATTGTAATTTTCGTGAGTATATAAATCATATATTTCAATTTTCACACATGTAGGACACCTTGATTTACCATCGCTTCTCAGGTTTAATTCTAAAGATATATGTGTATACACAAATTCCTTGAAAACGTATTTCGATGTTGTCCATTGTCAGTGTTACTTGCCATTAATTTTAGGTTTAGACTTTAAATAATTGTAAAAACTAAAACAGAAAAGAAATCTGACAACAAATTACAGCTCATCTTGCATTTGACTAGTGTATTGATGAAAATAATTTATTTATGGGCTACTGTATATATTTAATCCTTTAAATTTATACAAGATTTTAATTTGATCCCTTAACTTTAAAATGTATGCTTTTAATCTTTTAGTGCTAAAATTTTTAACGAAAAATGATGGCATTGAAATATTAAATGTTGATAAAATATTCTCAAATACCAATATATTAAGTTTAATTTTAAAAAAGGTGAAGGTGTCAAAATACCTCTAAATTTTTGTCTAAAGTGTACCTAGCATCATAACATTTTTGGAGGCACAAAAACACCGATAAACTTGTAAATTTAGAGCAACAATGACATTGTCATTAAATTTGACTAATGGCTATTACTTTTTACAGTGGAACTCACACTAATGTTATGAAAGTACCAAAATATCTTAAGTTAAAAAAAGATGAAAGTGCAAAAATACCTATAAACTTTTAGTCAAAAGGCGCCAAACACCATATGTTTTTTCGTAAGTACAAAAGTACCAATAACTGTGTAAATAAATTTATTCTTTTACTTTTATAAAAAAAACTCAATTAAATTTTATTATACTATTGTAATGCTAATAATTTTATGCTTAATATATATGTTTGATTTTTTAAATTTATACGAATTTTTCATTTAGCCCCTTAAATAAATAAAGTGTATTTCCAATTTCCTTACTGTCAACTTCAGTCCAAAAAAAAATCTCCTTACTGTTAACACTGTTAGTCTCATTCACATAAAAAAAAAAGTTGATTTAGCAAATTTAAATGGTAACCTTGTAACTAAATATTGAAATATTAATCTTTAATTTAAAATTTGTAAATTGAAAATATTTAAAATAAAACATAATAAAGATGTAGTATGATTGTTAACATCAACAATCCATCTTTCACTATATAAAACTATTAACTGACTAAAAATACACTTTATCATATAAATTTATAGGTCCAAAAATATAATAGTATAATAAAATTTAATACTTTTTTAAAAGAACTTGAAATAATTAATTTACTTATACATTCATGGATACTATTGCAATTTGAATTCATTAAATTAGTATCTGCATGCCATACGGGATTGCTGTGTTGCCTCGGCGTCTTGGGAGGCCACGGTACCTCGGGAGGTGCGGAGGGATTTTTTTCACTCTAAGGATCTTGGTAGATGGCTGGTCTGGAACACTATGTTCAATGGCAGGATTATGGGAGTGCGGTGGGGCGTCTGGTTTGCCATCTTGTGTAGGCAAACCTGGCTTAATAGGAACTCGGGGGTTTTCGATAAAAAGGCCAAGGGATACCGTCAAGTCATTGCACAAGCTAAAGCTATAATGGAGTGTGCGAAGGTCAATTTGGAATTGGATCTGAATGCTGTGATATCTGGCCCTCGCTGGGTTGCACCGCATCTCGGCTGTGTCAAATACAATGTTGACGGTGCGTGCGTGGGGGAGACTAGGGAGATAGCTTGCGCAGGGGTGGCACGGGATCACGATGGCTTACTTTTAGATGGCTTTACTTTCAAAATTGGAAAGGGGAACAGCCTTCATACAGAGCTATGGGCGGTGCTTTGGGGGTTGAAGAGGTCTTGGGAGCTAAGATGGACGAGGGTTATCATCGACACGGACTGTATGGATGTCATTGATTTATTGGAAACGGGATGGACTGATAATCACCCTGTCTGGAACCTGTTGGAGGAGCTGAAGTGGTGGCTGGAGCGGGAGTGGGAAGCTCGCGTGGCATGGTACGCTCGAGATGCGAATATAGTCGCTGATACGCTGGCTAAGAACACTCTGTCGTCTGTGGAAGGGATGATTTTTTTCTGCACTCCCCCTAAGTGCATTGCGTCGGTTTTCAGTACTGATTTAGTTATGTAATTGTTATTTTCCTTAAAAGAAAAGTATTTTCTGTTAATGAAACCAGTGGTGTTAATATTTAATGACTGAAAATATACTTTATATATTTAAGAAATTAATTACATTAAAACTTGATGAATTTAGAGGACCAGATGTATACATTAACCATAAAATTATTAGTTATAATAGTATGATAAAATTTAACAGAGTTTTTTTGCTAAAACCAAAAGAATTAATTTATTTGCACCATCATTGGTACTTTTGCACCTATGAAAAAATATATGGTATTTAATGCACTTTGGCTAAAAGCTTATTGGTATTTTTCCATCTTTACCCCTTTTTTTGTTTTTTTTCCCTTTTAGTTAGGGGCATTTTGATACTTTCATAAGATTAGTTTGCGCCTCACAACAACAGAAAATAACAATTGTTAGCCAAATTTAACGGAGGCATTGCTTTTTATCTGATTTTGCAAATTTATTGATACTTTTGAACCTCCGAAAAGGTTATAGTAGTAGATGCACTTTGGATAAAAGCTTGTAGGTATTTTTGCACTTTCACTCATTTTCAAAAAAACTATAATTGTTAAAAAAAATCATTTAAACTTGACTATTTTAGAATTAAAGGACCAAATACATACTTTTAAAAATTAAAAGACCAAACTGAAACATTGTATGAAGATAAATGACCAAATGTATATTTTAGTTTTTATTTCTACTTTGAAAAATTAGTATAAAACAAAAAAGAAATAGCTGGAAACAAAATACAGCTCATCTTGCTTCAGCGCAATAATGGAATCTATTATTCCTACTTCTAAAAATGTAAAATTTGCACCAAAAATACATTATTTACTTTTTCGGTAAAATTTTGAATACCGCTTAATAATCATCAACATTGTATCATTCTATGCAGTTTAATAGTCAATTCAAATTTATGACCATATTGTTGATGCGTGCGATGCACCTAATAGATGGAATGTTTCATGCACAAAAATGTATCACTATAAATTTTCAGCAATAAAATGAGGCAACAAATTAAAGATTCATCCTATCTACTAGCCATAATAATAGATATCAATAAATTCACAAATAAAATTGCAAACATAACAAGGAAATATTAAATAACTTAACTAATCCAATCCCTTGCCAGACTTGATTCTAATAATTTGCAATCGATTTTAGATTTAGATTTTAAATAATTATAAAAATAAAAACAGAAGAGAAATCTGGCAACAAATTATAATGATTATCTTACATGTTTGCAATGTGATCATAGAAATCATTTATTTCTACTTCCTAAATAGTGTAAAATTTGCAGAAGAAATACATTGTATCTTTTGCTTGGTTCAAATATAAATACCCCCTAGTCTTTATCAACATCTCATCATCTCATGTGGTTACACATTTCATTGAAATGCTATTAATCTTATGGTCCCTTCCTATTCTCTACCCAAATTTCTCACTTTTGTTCTCAATCAGGCATCTTTAAAAATTAGTGAGAGATCAGATATCCTTTTACATAATCACATTGACTCAATAATTTATCAAATATTTCTATCCCATCAGTTCATTATAGTCATGTTGTGAAGAGAGTTTGACACAAGATTTGTTGCTTTTCTAGAACTAATTGATTATTTGTGTCTAATCTCTTTTATTACATGACTCTTGTGCTGCATGAGAAGATCCAAATTTTGGAAGATATGAGGCAAAGCATAAACGGTCTACATCGCGAAGGAGCATTAACCCGTCCTTGAAACTCATCATCCAATGTCTTAGCGTTCCAATTTAGGGAGTCAATCTCACAATCAAGTCTTTTTATAGTCTCTTTCTTGAATGATGTCAAGGAAAGAACTAAACCATCCATGTTTGGCAGTGAGAGGTACAGTAGACCAAACACGCCATTTTGTATGTACCTCTTTGACATCTTTCTCACTGGTGAAACTAAACACATTATGTACATTAGAAAGATTTGCAGAGTGTTTGTTAGTCTTTCTGAACTTCTTATGCTTGTGAAGTTGCTTAATTATATTGGAACCTATTAGTAAATATTTTTGACTTTAATACTCCTCTCTCTTATTGCTACCTTGTGTATACTATCTATAACTAATGTATTACTGAATTTGTTTTGCTATTTTTTTTTTAGAAAAAAAGTCTTACAATCTGTGTCAGTATTTTAATGAAATGAAATCGAGAGTAGAGTTCCTATGTAATTTGATGGACATGAAAAACTCAACATTTTACATAAAACTGACATAGAATTGCTCAAAAACTATGCCGCTATTTTACCACCCTCCACCAGAAAGAATAACCTTCCTAATTAACGTTAAAAGTCTATTCTGTAGTAGTGAATTATTCTTAGGTAAATTAAACTCGTCTACAATTGTATTTTTTCCGCTTGTTCTTGTTCTTACTGATGAAAAGATTCAGGGTTTTAATCACACGTGTCATTTTGTGTCTAGGAGATCAATCAAATTTTAGAAAGTTCTCATCAACATACTCTATTTGATTATTTTCCAGATATCTGTTCCTTGATAATAGCAATAATCATATCAGATCAGGTGAAAAAATGTATCATATTGGTAACAAAAATAAATTAATGAAACAGCATGATTGTAATTTTTGTCAGTACATTATATATATATATTTCAATTTTTATATATGTATGATACCTTGATTTCAAATTTCTTGTATGGACTCCATTCTGAACATATATGAATTCCTTGAAAATGATGTTGTTTATAATCAATTTTAGGTTTACACTCTGCGTAATTATAAAAAGACAAAAAAGAAATAACTGGCAACAAAATACAGCGCATCTTACGTAAGTGTAATAATAGAAATCAATTATTCCTACTTTTAAAAATGTTCAATTTGCACCAGAAATATCATATATTGCACCTTCTAAACATGGATTCAATCTTTCATATGGTCTACATATCTCCACTTCCCACACCTGCATTACACAACTTAGATATCATTCTATATAGAAACTTAACGTCACCAATATAAATTTTGCGTAAAATGTTTTTCAAATTATGTATAAGAGAATACCAAGGTAGAAGAGAAGATAAATTGTAATTTTAGATTCACCTTTGATATTTCATTGATCTAATAAGGTTCTGCCATTATTCTCAACATTAAATTAATTTTTCCTTTGAAGTCATGCTAAGGACTTCTAATTTATCTGTATAAACGATTTGCTTATATGTTGAATGTCTATTGAAATATTTTGGCTGAATTATTGTATGTATAATTGAAAGCAACATGAGAAAAACATGGGTGGAACTTTCAATAAAGAGATGGTGGTTTTGAAATACAAAAATGAAGACTAAATTTTGTTAAATATGCGTGTTCTGTATATGAATTAATGTATTTGAGAATTTTAGAATATAAAATAAGTACTTTTTATCACTAAAGGAAATAGCACATAGGCTAATAAATAACCCATAACAATCATTAACATTTTCTCATCATGCTATGTGGTTTCACATTAATGATTAAAAGCAATGACATACAAGTCGCATTATACTACTTTCGGTCTTTAATATAACAGCTTATTTGACTTTTATTTTGATCCTAAATATAAGATCCCAATCTGTAATATCCCAAACTTTGTGGATTTAATTAAACCATGATGAAGGAGAACAATTTTAGAGAAATTTTTTAGATCAAGACTCTTAAAATATGGTCTAAATAATTATAAAGCTGATTTTGCAAATTTAAGACCTATTTTTTAGGAAATTCAAGAAAAATAGTTGGGAATTAATTTTTGACCTGGAATTTTTATGGAAATTATTTTAAGTGTCAAGGAAGCTATTGGATAAGGAAA